CCCTGTGGCCCCCATCCCTCCATCCCTCCCTTCCCCCTCGCAGGCAGCTGCGCTGGGAGCACACGGACATCTGGGAGGACATCAAACATCCGAGGGCGAGGAAGCAAAGCCCTGGAGGGGCACATTCCCGGCGGTGGGAGCGGGATGGAGGTTATGCCTATCAGGGAGACAATTCACTCCCATTTATAATCCAGCGGAGGGAGGAGCGGCCCTGAGAGGGATAAAGCACCAGCCTTCACCTCTGGGGCTGGGGGTCCATCCATCCACCCGGCTGCTCCCACCCAGCAGGGTGAGCCACGGCATTCCCAGCCGCTGGAATGGCCCTGAGCAGGGTGAGCCATGGCATTCCCAGCTGCTGGAATGGCCCTGCCTTGGGGACACGGAGCTGCTCCTGGCTGTCCCCAGCCACGCTGTCAGCGGAGTGACAAAGCTCCCTGCATGCACTGGATCCTGGGACATCCCCTGGCAGCAGGGATGCTCCAGGTCCTTGTCCCACAGAGCTCATGGCATGGGGGGAGAGGTTCCCAGGGCTCCCAGCAGCTCCAGCACCCCCAGAACAGGTGGAATCCACCCCCCTCCACCTCCAGAAGAAACTCTCTGCTCTCGATTCTCCTCTTCCCCTCCAAAACAGGAGGGAAATGGGGCATTTCAGGATCTCTCAGGCAATCCCAGGGATTGTGCTCATGGGTTTCCAGAGGGGGTTGGAGCTGGATCCCCCCTCCAGGAGCTGTCACCAGCCTTTTTCAGGAGTGGGGTAGGAAGGGCCCAGAGCTCATCCCTGTCTCCCACGATCCAACCCCACTTCCAACCTGTTGCCTTTCAGCAGGAGGAGTTTCTTCCTCTTCCAGCTGATACATCTCCTATTAATAGCAAAGTCCAGCCTGGTCCAAGCTCTCCGCTCTCCAGAGCAGGCAGGATGTGAGGCTGGACGATGCCAAAGGCTCTTCCATCATTTTCTACGTATTTCCACCCTCGGGAGGAAATCCTGCCCTGGGAAGGTGGGTCGGGTTTGGGACGGGAAAGCCCCAACTCAGGGCAGCCAAAGGTGGGAGCTCCTGGAGGCACCACCTGGAGCCGAGTCCTGGATGGGGACATGGAGGGGGTCCCACCAGGGTGGGGTTGGGGGGGATGTCAGAGCCCTGACTGCAGCGAGGTGGGAGAGCCACGCTCTCAGATCCATGGGAGATGCTGAACCTCCCCCAGCACCTGCAGAGTGCAGGGATGAGCAAGGTGGGACCTTCCCTAAAGTCACCAGCCCCCC